GGACCTCTATCCCTGCTGGTTTTCCTCTCTGTGGGGCCGCCCATCCGACCACGGTTCTCAGTGCACCCACTGGGCAGTCCTGCTTCTCCCCAAACTCGTCCCGGATCCTTCCCCAGCCTAAGCCCTTACTGAGCTCTCCTCTCCTCCCCAGACCTGTCGGTGGCTGGCGGGAAGGAGCAGGCTGCCTCCCAGAGATCCTTCCCCACAGCGGCCATCTTCGTGGGAGCCTTCTTGGTCATGGTCGTGGTCTTGGCAGCCTTCATGCTGGGGCGAAGGACACGCTCATCTAGTGGGCAGCCGCTGAGCTACAAAATGTGAGGCAGGAAGTGAATGCATGCCAGGACCTCTGACACCGGCCTCCGCATTCTCAGATGCCAGAGCGAGGAAGAGGGAACTAAAGGCCCCAACAGCACCCACCCGCCGCTGTCTGCCAGGCACGGGCGTGTGGTGGGGACACAGTGGGTTGGAGGAAGGAAGGCGGGCAGCCAGCCTGTTCCCAGACCCACAAACCAGGTGACGGGACCAAATGCAGCAACCTCTCCAGACTTCCCTGCAACCATGAGTCTAACACTGCTATCACCCGAGCTTTCTCTAGATGGAATTTCTCCTCTGCCCTTCCACACAGGAGCCATTCGGCCTGCAGCACAAACCCGAGCTTTGCTTTAGGGTGGAACAATCTGAATAAAGAAGATTGTTTTCAAAGCAAGTGTGGGGTTGGTTGCTTAGTGTTTCCTCCTGGTTCTTCCAAGCACGGATTTGCTTCCCCTTAAACACACAGGTAGGATGGGCCATCAGAAGGAATGTCAGAGAGCAGGTGGCACAGCCCTGTGGCTTCCAGAACCTTCCAGGGAATAGAAACTGGACTCTCAGAGCCCAAAGCAGGGCATTTAGGCTACAGGTGAGAGCGCAGGAACTTTCATATGGAAGAGGCTGGCCTCCACTTCTCCAGGATCTGTGTCTTCTGGTGTCATGTCTAGTGTGGGGGGTGAGGCGTGTCTTGGGAGGAGCATCCTCCACAGGGACCTGGGGCTTTTGTGATTGAGACTGGGCCACCAGGATACCTGTGGGTGTGCCGTCTCCAGGGACAAATGGGTTGAGAGGTGGGCCCCAAGAGCTCAGGTGGAGCAAAGGGGTGTGGTGGGTGCCAAGGAGACAGTGAGTTTCTTGGGAGGTGGGGCAGAAGCCAGACCATGGGGCCTTGGGTCACATACAGTAGGAGGGGAACTCTGGCAAACTGCTGGCAATGGAACCCTTGCCCCCTGAGCCAGTCTGAGAGGAGGAAGGGGTTGCTACGATGAGCAGGCAAGACCTTGGTGGATCAGGAAACTGGGGAACCCCACAGATGAAGGCTCAGAGAATTGTTCCCACAGAGAGGCATCCTAGGGCTGGGGTGAGATGTTCAGCCACATGGGATGTGGGTGAGCCTCAGATCCTGCCAGAGTCAGAGAAGCCCAGGATCCCAAGGGCTTAAGATTTCAGATTTCCCATGATCCCTGCTGTCTCGCCTGTCCTCACGGCTGCCCCTGTCCCCCCCTCTAGACCAAGCCTCCAGGGTCCCCTGGGACCGACTGAGAGGGATCCAATGCATTGGACTGCAAGCACCAGACCGAGGCCGGAGAGGTCTAAGCGGATGGGGAGGGGCTGAGTCTCTGGTGCTG